AGTATATTCTAAGATGAACTTTTTAATTCATCGGTTACCGATAAAATCTTGTTATTATGTATAAATAATTTCAACTCGACACAAAATATCACAATAAATTTTTGCTAATTTGTCAGTATTAATTTAAATATCAACCCAGGCTTGAAATCCCATCATAAGATTGCTATCACAACAACACAAGGCGTATTTTAATAAAGAGAATCCAGATTTACAGTCAACTATTTGTGAGGTTCAAAAATAAAATAAGAAACAAAGAAAGTTTAAACAAATATGCAATCTGTAAAGATTATTTGTCACAAGCTGAAAAGACAGTAACACAATTAACTACAGCAAATTGATTGCTGTCTATTGCTCTCCCTTCTTTCAACAAAACAAAAGGGGTCAACAGGCAAAAAAAAGTTATCCATAAAGAGGTGCACCGTCCATCAAAGTGAATCCACCCAACTACAAAAGGTATATAGAGAGGATGATTTTCTAAATAAATAACGAATCCTTCCTTGATAATGAGCTTAAGGGTTGAATTTCCAATACTCATACTTGATCATATATATTTTCAAATTTAATGCATCAAATAAAGATCCGTTTGATGCTCTCTAAACATTAAAAATAAACCCTTAGGTTGCTCTATACATCTCCATATTTTTTATAGAACAAAAAAAATCTCTCTATAAAACTTTCTAGTATAAATTGTTTCATCTCTAACATGCTTTTTGTAATTCCAACTACAGTCGCTAATAACCTCGTTGTATGACTAATCTATTCCCCTATAATTATAACAATGATGAACATCAAAATTGTTCTAAACTACAGAAACCAAAATATTAAAATACTAAAACAAAAATATTGCATCAATCAGATGACATCATCTTAGTTTGCGCATTTTATTGAGATCTTTTAAACAGATTACTCAAATAACTCCGTTTACAATCTTGATAAACATCTCATTTGGGCCCTAAAGTTCACTTTTATCCATCTTTTCTAAAGCTAACACAAATTATTTGAATTGCATTCATGATATTGTTCATTTTGTTCTTCTTAAGAAATTGCTCTCATAATTGCTTAATAGACCTATTAGAATATTTATTAATGGCTAGTTTTAGTCATTATTAATTCCTGTTTATTCTGAGTTATTAGCTTGGATTATTTATTATTTCCTTCCTTATTTCTTTGCTTACTTGTAGATCCTGTAATGGGTATTTATACCCCTCTTTCCATCATAAGATTTACCTTAGTTCTTTTCTAACATGGTTTCAGAGTCATGGTCCTAACTTAGTTGCCGTCGAGCTAGCCAGTTCAGCTCCTTTCAATATGCCGGATCCCCTCTTAGTTTTGTCGTTCCTTCTCTTGAGCCAGCTAGGTCTGCTTCAAGCCTCGTCTCTTCGAAACCCTTTAGAGTTTTCCGAAGCTATCCAGATCTTGCCGGCCTAGATTCCCCAGTCGCCAAATGCCCATCCAAAACCTCTGTTCTGATCACCAGAGACACCTTCCAGCCATCAGAAACCCTGCCTAATTGTTTGATCTCCCTCCTGGTTTGTTGGAGCCCCTTCTAGAACCTTTTTCCAGGGCCAGGAGATCTAGTCCAATGGGAACCCCTTCCAAAGGCCATATTCCTTCAGTAGCCAAAACTTTACAATGCCTCCACAACCTAGCATCTAGTTGGACTCAATTAAAATCACGGCGGACTCCACCAACATCAAGTCGTCATTAGAAGATGTTCTTGATTCCACAAGAGGATCAATTCCAACTATTGTTCCTATGCAGACCAGAGGACAAGAAAACAATAACTTTTTGATCACAACTGATAAACTGAACGACGGTAATTTTTTCCTATGGTCTCAATCTATGTCCTTGTTCATCAGAGCGCGTGGGAAATTCGGTCATCTAACTAGTATGATTCATGAACCTCCACAGAGACTTCGAAAGGCAAATCATATATGTTCCTTCCGCTAGTGCCCTCTAGACGACAACTCGTGATACCTACTCGGATGTAAAAAATTCCAGCCAATTCTATGAGGTATATGAGAAAATCCGTGAGGCAAAATAAGGATACAGGACAATGCCCTAGTACTACAAAGATCTAATTGCATTATGGATGAAATGAGACCTGCATTAGGACTACACTTGAGAATCTTCAGCCAACCTATCTCTCTTCCAAAAAATTGTTGAAAATGACCACATGTTCCAATTTTTAGTAGGCCTCAACAAAGAACTTAACGATGTCCGGGACCGTATCTTTGGTCGGGAGCCTTTTCCTTCTGCTCGTGCTGCTTTCACTAAGATTCATCCTGAAAAGAGCTAGAGATTTGTCATGTTTGGTGCTACCACACTGTCTACCGATGTATTAGCCTCGGTCTCTACTCTAATAGTGTTCAACCCTAGACTGGTAACCCTAATTGTGATTATTGTCACAAATCCAACCACACTCGTGATAAATGTTGAATGCTCCATTAGAAACCTGCATCCAAACCTTCGGTCAAATCTTCCGCTGTCAAGGGTCTTGCTACAGCTTTTGAATCCAAACAGTACAGCCAGCCTCTACCTAGAACAATCCAAAATCCTCCAATTCTCTTAAAAGTCAAATGAAACACTTAATCAAGCTGCTTGGATCCAGTTCGCTCTCTTCTGGCCCATCGACCTCTCATATTCGTCAAGGTACCAATCCCATAGCACTCACTTCTTTGGCCTCTTCTACTCCATGGATAATTGATTCGAGTGTCACAGACCAAATGATTGGAAGTTCACAAGTCTTCACGGCATAATATCATTGCTCGGGGAAGGATACTCCTAAAATTGTTGACGGGTCCCAAAATTTCATTGTTGGTAAATGATCTGTTGTTTTAACAGGTCTAACTCTAGAATCTGTGTTACATGTACCTCTGTTGAAGTGTAATTTTTATCTGTCAGTAAGTTGACCTATGACATTGATTGCGTTGCTTATTTTTTTCTCTGATGTTGTGTCTTTCAGGATCGTTCTATGAGAAAGATGAATGGAACTGCTAAACGGGTAGGCGGGTTCCACTTCTTCCAAGAGAAAAACACAAAAAACAAGGACACTCCATCGAGTAGTTGAAGTTTATCTAAGTCCACTGAATGTCCTATCATGTTGTTATACAGTCGTTTAGGTCATCCTAGTTTCTAATATCTAGAATAATTGTATCCATTGATGTTTACTAATAAAAATCTTTCTAATTTCAAATGTAAAACATGTCAGTTAGCTAAACATCATCGTGTTCCTAATCGACCCCACAAGTACACACCTTCTGCTCCGCTCTTATTCACAGTGATTTATGGGGGCCCTCTCGCACTCTTAGCTACACCAATAAATGGTGGTTTATTACCTTAATTGATGATCACACTCGAATTACGTGAGTCCATATTTTAAAAGATAAATCTAAAGATATTGTCACTTTCAAAAACATCTACATTTTCATTTTGACATAATTTAAAACTCCTATTCAAGTTCTATGGACAGAAAATGGTCGTGAATTTTTTAACTCTATATTAGAAGAATTCTTGATAAGTAAGATCATCCTCCATCATAACTTGTGTACCGACACTCAACAAAATGGGATAGTCGAGAGAAAAAACCGATATCTCCTTAACGTTACTCGCTCCATTATGTTTCCCTATAATGTCCCAAAACATTTCTGGAATGATGTCATTCATACCGTCACTTATCTTATCAATAGAGTTCTATCAAAAACTCAACTTTTGTGACCCTTTAGCCATCTTGAGATTGTGCTTTCCAAACAATTGAGTCTTCTACACTTTAGTTCAAAAAATTTTTAGGTGCACAAGCTTTACTTGGAACACGACCCCAACTCGAAGTAAAGTTGATCCCAGGTCCATAAAAAATGTTTTTGTCGGATACTCTGCCACTAAAAAGCGGTATCGATGCCTTGACCCTACCACAAATAAGATCTACGTGAGTGTTAATAACTCCTTTTTTTTAATGTTACCTACTTACTCGACATCCAGTGAGAGGGAACTAAAGTTAATGGACACTATTCCTTACCCTACTCATACGGATGGTCCCCCCACGTCACCTACCATTAAGGAACCCTCTATTCATTTCGTTCCACCTACTTCTCCTACCACCAAAGAGTCCTCTGCCCTTTGGTTCCACTAGCACATCCTCGCACTCTTTATGTACCCTTGATGCACTAGTTTTGATGCACCTACTCTCAAGCTCGCTAACCCTTTGTTGGACCCTGACTATCCTCCGAACGATATCTCCAACACTATTCCTACTCCAAATGAGAAAGTCAATACATCAAGGTAAGCAATCAGACATGATCTCTCTATCCTAAAGTAAACTATGTTTCTTTTTGCAGATTATCACCAACCTACAGAGCATTTTCTACGTCC